TAGGATTTATATAGGTATATAGATATTATATATAATATTTATATAAGTATTATAATATAAGTAATATAAGTAATATAATTAAAGTATAAGTAAGTATATAAGTATATAATTAAATATTTTTTGTCGTATCATTATGATTTTTAATTAGTTAAAATATTCTTACAGATAAGATTTTAATATTTTTTAAAATTTTTTATTTTTAATTTATATAAGAAATTATAATTCTTTTTTATATATTAACTATATATTAACTATATAATCGTTTTTATATCTGTTTCTATGTAATAATTTATTTTTAATATAATAAAAAAAATTGAAATATTTGATTGATTATAAACATTAATAAAAGTAGAATATTAAAAATCTTTGGAAATAATTTCAAATTTTATCATAGAAAATGGTTAAAAAATTTTAAAATAAACAAATGATGAAAAAGTCTTGTAAATTTATATAATAAAATAAGTAAAGATATTTCTCTGATATAATAAACGTAATATAAACGTAAAATAATATTCTATTTACTATTTCTATATAAATTTATTTAAAAACATTATGTATAATAAATCTAACAAATAATTATGCAATTTTTTTAAATTCAATATAATAATTTTAATTTCCATAATTTAAATAAAAAATAAATTAAAATTATATAATAATATTTATTCGAATAAGTAATCTATTATTTTATTCTAAATTTTAATCTATCTTCATTGAATTTAAAAAGTCAAAGTTTTTTTATATTCAAAAATCTCAAAAGAAACATGATCACAAATAGTTATTTTGAAAAATGATTTTAACGTTTCATAAACTATTTTATTTAATATTTACATTTCTATTGAGATATTGTAATATAGATGATAAACAATTGAATTAATTAAATATTATACAACTCATATTACATAGCTTATTAAATATGTAAAAATTTAATGAAATTATGTTCAAGAAATATCAATTCGATGCGATTTTCATTTTAACAATTTATTAATTAGAAATTAAATTTTGTTACTTTAACGTTAATTAGAAATTAGATCAATCTCACAGTGAAAGAGGAATAGATCATTATCATTCTCAATGAATAAGAATAAATAAAAAAAAAAAATCGTATATAATGTTATACGATTATACAATTTGACAAGATTTCTGCCCATTTATATAAGTTGAAATGTAAACTATATTTTTTAAAATATATGTTATTTCCAAAATCAAAAGAATGTCAGAATTTAAGATATTTTGTTTTTAATGTTTGAGCATTGAGTTCGAACTGAATTATTTAAATTGTAATAATTTATATGACGATATAGACGATACTATACTATCATGCTTCAATCAATTTGTTCGTCAATTTTTAAACAATATATTAAATTACAATAGATCAAAAGCAGTTATATTTATTATCTTATATAAAATCTGTTATATTTGTGGTTTTTTTTTCCAAATGAAAATAGCACTAGACTTTTTTAAAAAGCATATTTTATGAATACATTTATGTTAAATTTAAATTTAAATGAATTTCAATAAATTTTTGCTTAGATTAAAAAAAAAAAACATTTCAAATTATTATTCTTTTGATTTCAAGAATAATAACAGGTTTCAAAAAGCATCATTTGCCTTTCAATTTGTGTAATCTATTGATAGAAATTTTGTATAATCACTCATAATATTATATACATAATTTTTTTCTTTATATCTGATTTATTTCTATTCATCGAACTATCAAGAATTATTATGAGAGCAATAATGACTTCTTTTATTATGAGATTTATTTGATGTTTGATGAGTGTTAGAATGACATAATATTAATTTCTGATAAATTGTTGATTTAATTAATGAAAATTGCATCAAATTGATATTTCTTTTGGACATAATTTTGATAAATTTGCATATATTTGCAGTATATTTCATATAATATATAATATTTAATTAACATCAATTACTATCTATATTAATTATTTAATTACTATCTATATTATAATATTTCATTAAAAATATAAATAATATAAATAAATATAGAAAAATATAGATGAATAATTTAAAATAATTAACGAAATTTTAGAATTATTTTTCAATAGAATAGTTCATTCATACGATCTAGTTGCTTTGGGATTTTTATTCCTCGCGATGAATATATAATGCAATAAAAAAAAAACATTGATTTTGAAAATTTATATCAAGATTACTTTTATGGCAAATATTTTTCATAAATCTCTATCTATCCAAAGATATCACGCTATAATAATCACGATACTTATTTTTTATATATTCTATACAATATACAAAATAAAACTTGCAACTTGTATAAAAAAAGGCCAATAGATAAACATAGTTAGAAAGAAAAATTTTCTTTTTTTATCAGAAGAATAAATCCTTAAAAATGAACAAATCTCAATTCTGAAAAATAAACTGGAGAAAAAAGAAGCAATTGATTTTTGATATCGTTCGATCGTTTATTTTACTCTTACTTGTCATGATGAATGCTATATAAAAATTGAAAATTCTACTATTGTTTATTCAATTAAAAAAAGAAATCTTTTCAAATTAATTTCTTTTATCTACAAAATAATGATAACAAATTTGTAATTATTCTAGTAATTGAAATTTAAAAATCAATATAAAAAATCAATTATAAAAAAAATAATAATGTAATAAAAATATTGTAATACAATATGAATTATTTTATATAGAATATTAATATATTCAAGGACATTTCAAGGTCAGAAAGAATAAATTCTATACATCAAAACAAATATAAAGTTTGCATTTAAAAATATCAGCTTATTTATTGAATTAAAAACAATTTAAATTAATAGAAATGAAATGAGATGAAAATAATGTGAGACAGATTTCTCTTTGTTATTATCTCTATTTTATTTTGTTTCATCTAACACAAACTTAAATTTAATAAATAAATTTTATGCACTGATATACAAAATATACAATGGTGTGCAAAAATCTCAACCAGGTGGTTTCTTTAAATTTTTTTCTTAAAAAAAAAGTCTAAGAAATTTTTATTAATATATTATATAAAAACATATTGTCTAAAAGGATATTATAAAAAAAATTAATGCTATTTATTGTTCATACGTGTTTATTTGAAGAATATGTAAATTAATTATATATTCAAAAATTTTCAGTCAGTTCTTATTATAAGTCTGTAAGTTACAAAGATCAATAAGTTTTACATTCAAATATTATACTTTAATTGATAATTAATCATTAAGTTGCAAATATGAATTTCTAAAGACACTTGTTAAAGTACACAACATTATTAAAATTGTTTTTAAAAAAAAAGGTCATCTCATAAAATTACTTCAATATTATCAATTGTAAAATGTATAGTAAATGATACATAATTAATAGATTAATTATATCGCGTACGACAGTGTAAAAGATTGCCCACGCAATGGAAGATTCTAAAAGATCACTAAAAGAATTGATAAAATTATAAAACGAAAATCATTTACACAAAGAAAATAGCTACTAATATCGCAATTGAATTATTAATAGAGAATATTGCTAATATTAATAAAAGTATAGTAACAATAAGATTACACGATGCAAAATTATTTGACAGAGTTAATGTTAAAAAACCATTAATTAGTAAAAAAAAATAAAATAGTCCGATGTTAGCCAAAAAATATTATGACTGGACTGTAGAAAAATGAAAAACGGTACTTTTCTCAGATGAATCTAAATTCAATTTTTTTGGAAGCAATAGAAAATATTATATACGATATCCAGTTGGCACAAGAAATAATACTAAATATCAAACACCAATATATTAAACATGATGAAGGAATTTATTATGGTTTGAAAAACTTTTTCTATTTTAAGAATCCTCTTATAAAAATTGAAGATATCATAAATGATATCATATATAAAAAAATTTTAGAAACTTATGTCACCATATGATTTTCTAAGAAAAATTTTCTAAAAGAAAAATAGTACTTTTAACAAGACAATGATCCTAAACATGCATTGAAAATATTAAAAGAAAAAGAAAATTATAAAAAGATGATTGTGTGAAATACAAGATTAGTCTTCTTAATTTGCGAATTTAAATCCAATAGAACATCTTTGAAGAGAGAAAAAAAAAATCATAAAAATTCTAATAATACAAAATTTTTTTTAAATTTAATAAAAAAATGGAAAATATTACACGATTATATATACTCGATTAATTAAATCCATGCGTTATTGTTATACTGTTGTAATTGCCGCAAGATGTGACTACAAAATATTAGCTATAAATAATATATAAATAATATATATAACATATATATAATATATATAATAATATAACATAAAT